GGAAAACAACACTTCCACTGACACACCTTGGTAATCTTCTACCAGAAACATGCAACTGTTATTACCCCATACCAGCACATATAGTTCAAAGAATGTTTTGAGTTATTTTAGCAGTCAAATAACTCTCCCGGTCAAGCTCCCATGTTACGTTGGTTTCCCTTATTTCTTGGATGGTAAGGTTCTCACTACATGTTCTAGTGTGGGGTAGCTTTTACTTAATGGCCTTATTTGTCTAGGGGTAATACTTACATCATGGTGATCATCTTGAGTGTCTCTGATACCCTATTCACCAGCCCTCTTCACAGGTTATGTAAACTACTACTATAAAAATATAACTGTATTCTCAATAGATATGTACAGAATATACAATCACAGCCTCCATTTTCAAAACAAAATCTACACACTCCATGCCTGTTGCTCCACATGGTGTGTTGCAACAACTCTTGTCCTTCACTCTTCCTGACATAACTCTGGGCTAACCAGTGTTTTGACACACTTTAGTCACCCTGGGTATGGTGGCCAAAACTTAAATTATAAAAACTCACCCCTGGAGCACACATGATGCCCCAAAAGATAGGAGAAGGACCCAGAGATCCTGCCAGGTTGAAGGTCAGCCACAGAGAGAGAGAGTCAGTGAGAGGGAGAGAGGAGAAGCCTACCTAAGCTCCTCCACCAAAAAAAAGACTGTTGCCAAGCACAATTCTCCAGTTACCACAATTCTACCACCTCTTAATTTTACTTTTACAAAAAGAAATACAACTTTATAAACTACTTATTTAAATTGTGTGTTTATGTGTCTATAGTATAACCTATTATATTGAGAAAAATAGGTTTGACCCAGCTGCCTCTCAGTCATAAGGTTGATCAGTCCTTCTGACATTTAGAGCAAAGTCCCCATCAATTCAATATAATTAGGTATTCCAAAGTAACTGTTACTTATAAATACATGTTGGGTCCTATAGCCCCATAACATCTATATATGATATTTCTGCAAAACAACCACTCTGAAAGAATAGAGAAATTCCAAGCACTTTCGTGACTACTCACATTATCAAGGAACTATGAAAGTGAAGCATCCAAGGAAGCTATATAAGGGGTCCGGCCAGCACCTCACTTTCAGATCCCACAACGGTTAAACACGTGACGCGCGGCGAGCCAACTTGGATAGGTCCTTTGCACAACTCGCCCCCAAGCTATTCTACCCAAGAAAATTTAAAAATTATTTGTCCAGTGTATTATTAAATTCTTCCCAAATTCTATTAATTATAAATGGATCTAATTTATATAAACCAAAGGAAATATTCATATTATTGTCAAAACTGCTTTTTATGAAACAAGATTCAATTATATTCCTGTCGACCATGGACTTGCTTGATACTACTTTCTCAACTTTTTGATATTTCTCTTCAGTAAGTATCATAAAGATTTATTTAATTTTTTTAGTGAGGGAAGGGGAAGCTTGGGGCCCAACTAGAATACTGTACATCATGACTCGTTCAGACTAAATTCACCTCTCCAGCCTCAGCAGGATCCATCACAAAACTTAGTGATGTTATGCTTAGTATGGGTCCCTCTTCACTACACTCAGGTAGTTTGCTTGTTACAATGATATGCTTGTACAATGATATGCTTTTACAATGATATGCTTGTACATTGATATGCCCTTGTAGTCTTAAGTTAGGCTTAAGCTTGCCTGAAATGCTTTGCATATCTATGGGCTTTTAAGATGCACTAAATGTATCATGTTGAAACAAACTTGTATCTGTATTTGTTGTGACAGGTGTCAGCTGGGAGTCTGGCCAACCTTCAGGCTTTAATTGTATATCTTGTGTTGTAGTGTTTGCAACTTCAAGGCTTCTTCCTTCTTTCATTTGGCTATTTGCTCTGTCTAGACCATGTTCCTGCCTTTTTCTCTTTCAGAAAGATTCTGGTAGAGTCTCTTCTTTATGGCCATCTTCAGGATTCATGCCTTGCTGCCCTTCATATGATCCCAGCAAGGCTTGGGAATGTTAAAAATAGTATAAAATACTGACTATTTGATGATTAAGACACATGTATGACAGTTGGGTATTTTTATTGTTAGAATGTTTCGCCTATGGTGTTCACAAAATGTTACAACAGTATACCCAAACCAAACCACGGGCGGGGATGGAACCTGTGATCAGAGAGTCTCAAAACTCCAGACAGTGGCTAACGCAACGGTCTGGAGTTTTGAGACTCTCTGATCGTGGGTTCCATCCCCGCCCATAGTATGGTTTGTTTACAGTCGTGTCATTACGAGTGTACCCAACTATTGCACATGTGTCTTAATTAATCATCAAGGCTTGAGAAGTCTTTAGTCCAATTACTAGACTACCTGCTGGCTATGCCAGCCTCCTCTGTGCTTTCTGTTATCTCTTAGTGGTTCTGAGGATAATCTTCCCCATTGCAGTATCAAACTAGGCCTTTTAGTTTGGGAAAGAAATATTACAGGATTAAGAAACTATTAAGTAGTAAACAGGAAAGTAAAGGTTGTGACACTTACCTGTTATCTTACATATTCATGAGACAGAAAAGATCAGCAATCCTGTCAAAGTACAAAAATATTTACAAGCAGACAGTTTAGACTTCACACTCATTTAGCAAGATGTATATAGTACTAACCTTCCTGGATAGTCACTGTCTACCAACCTACTACTGTGACTACAGAGATTTGCTGTCAGCATGCATCTACCCTCTTATAGCACACTTCTCCTGTGTTGTGCACCAGCTTCACTCTACTCTTTTTGGTTGCCAGTCAGATACAAACAATTTATTTCTTTTCCACAGTATACATGTAGTTTTTTATGTAATAAAATAGTGTTATGCACAAAAGAAAGCCACTGGTATGCAGTGCATTTTGGGTAGACTAATACTAATGCTAAAAGACTTCTTAAGATCTAGACATGGGTTCTTAAGTAGGGGTTTTATAATGTACAAAAAAGAGAGGAATGGTACAATTTTAAGTATGCGTTAATACTTCACACTTATTCAGTGACCTTCAGTTGAGTGGGATTTCTTAAGCAGTTTAAAATTGACTTGATGTCTTTAGTTTATGGAACAATTGAAAGAGATGGTGAAGATGCAGGAAGTTAGTTTCAGTAGAAACATAATGGAACAAGATGAGTAATTAATTTTCTATGGGAGTTTGAGGAAGACTGGAAGAACAGGGATAGAGTTCCAATGTCTTTGCTTCACTACCCCAGAACATTCCAGCTTCACTCCTGGTTCTTGATGTATTCCAGCACGGGCCTCTCTCGCTCTGGACTCAGGCATTTTCTCTGCTCCTTGGACCTATGGGTCTACACCTGCTCTGCCTTTGAGCTTTGCTGGCCCTATTCCTCTTCTAGGAGGGTTTCTGTGGTGTGGCTGCTTCATTCATATCCTTCCAAAGCCACTCACATGCTAGGACTGCCCTTACCCACTTTGCCTTTTCAGCCAGGCAACAGCTGTAGATTTAATAGTTAGGTTGGTCTGCTAGCTGTGAAGCAGGAATGTCCCGTTTGTAAATAGAGTTGACATGTGGTCATAGTCACAAACTTAACTACGCCACAACCTTATCTCCCACATGTGCAGGTACTGTACTATGTTCACCACAGTTTTACCTTCCACATGTGCAGGTACTGTACTACCTTCACCACTTTACCTTCCACAAGTGCAGGTACTGTATCATGTTCACCACAACTTTACCTTCCACATGTGCAGGTACTGTATCATGTTCACCACAACTTTACCTTCCACATGTGCAGATAGTGTACTATGTTCACCACAACTTTACCTTCCACATGTGCAGATTCTATGCTACCTTCACCAAAAAGTAACAGGTAAAGAGCCTGTGCAAGGAATGTTCTGTTAAGATATGACAGAAGAGGAAACAGTAATGATGCTGCTGTTATTATTATTGCTGCTGCTGCTGCCGCCGCCACTGCCGCCGCTGCTGCTGCTGCTGCCGCTGCTGCTGCTCTTCTTTTTTTTTTTTCACCACTTCCCTCACTACAGCTAGGGTTGTGTCAAAGTTTCTACTAATTTTGATGGTATTGGTATCATGTTAAGTAGAGTATTGGTGTCAGTATTGGCAAAATTGTTATCATCCCATCACTAACCATAACTCACCACACAACACTTCCAGACACTTGCATCGCTCAAACAACAGTAAGGTAAAGACTCTTTTGTAAGGTACACCTGAAGAGATGGAGGTGAATGGTAGAGCGAAAGAGATGAAATGTAATAGAGGAGGAAGTTAGACTGGGATAGATGGAGACTAGGGAATGGGAGAGAGGATGAGCAAATGGGATTTTTGAAAAATATGGAGGAAAAGGAAGAGAGGAAGATAGAGAGGGTTACCTGAGTACAGTACATTAATTTCATTGTTTAAAATTAAATGAAATTTGATATAGAATATGGTAGGTGCCCCACTTATGACCCTAATTCCTTTTAGAAAATTGTAACTTAAATGTTCAAAACTGAAAACCTCTTTTCTCATATAATTTGAGATTCATTTCTTATCCATTTTATTTCTTATTTCATTATTGTTTTAACTAAGAATATTCCCCCAAATTCTTACATTAATTACTGTACCCTTTCTTTTACATGTAGTAAATTGTCAATGTTACCTACCATGTACATGTTAATTATACATAATAGAGCTACAGTACTGTACAGTATTTACATTGAATGCAAATTCTGCCTTGCTTACTGGAAATAATAGTTCATAACACTGTTGTTTCTTGTTTTCCCTCTGCAGGCCCTGTTCTGGACATGTTCATACACTGTTGTTTCTTGTCTTCCCTCTGCAGGTCGATCATGTGGTAGCCCTGTTTTCTATGTGTTCATAACACTTGTGTCTTCCCTATGCAGGTTGAGCATCTGGTAGCCCTGTTCTATATGTATTCCTAACAATTTGTGCCTTCCCTCTGCAGGTCAAGCATCTGGTAGCCCTGTTCTGTATGTTTTCATAATACTGTTGTATCTTTCCTCTGCAGGTCGAGCATCTGCTAGCCCTATACTGGACCTGTTCATAACACTTCTCTCAATGGGTGTGAAGGGTTACAAACAACTTTTAGGAGAAAGAAAGGAACTCAAGACTTTTCTCACAAGACAAATGGAGGAGGTTGCACAGAAGCATGGGCTTCGTGTTCTTAATACAAAGAATCCAATATCTGTAGGTAAGATAGTCTTTGTCTCTACAAAAAATATTTATATCTGTTGGTGCTTGAGGAACTAGTCTTAAATCTGCACACTGCCATAACTACATTGTGGAGTGAGAGAGATGGAATATAAACACAGTGAAAAACAGGGGTGCTATGGGCACAATAAGAAAACATTGCATCATCAACATATGTGGTCCCAGATTTTTAAGCATCTTACCAAAAGATATCAGTGACACTGCCAGAACAAGTGTAAAAGGCTTCTACAAGTACCTGTGACAACAGCTGCTTCATCCTGGCTGTAACTGATGTGTGAGCCAATGGACCACCAGCAGCAACAACCTGGGTTGACCAGGCAAGCCACACTGCTGGAGTAGGAGAACTCTCAAAACTGTCAAAGTCATTTCAAAGTGAGATTGGTCAATGTAGTGGCATTCCCAGCATTAAAAATAACTATCATCAGTTGGCAAGATTACTTCTAGCTTATCAGCATGTTCTTAGACATGACGAATTTTAAGAGTTTGTCTACCCTGTAGACAAACTGACTGCTTTGTCAACCAAGCTGTTGCTGCTACTGTCTCACAGGCCTACACTCATCACATCCTGGCTTATCACACTCTTGCCGGTGTAATGGAGCCATCAGTTTCGGTGTAGATGGTCCGTGGAACCAGAGTCCATCATGTACTAGTGTGTCTATGGAACCAGAGTCAATCATGTACTAGTGTGTCCATAGGACCAGAGTCCATCATGTACTAGTGTGTCCATGGAACCAGAGTCTGCCACATACTAGTGTGTCCATGGAACCAGAGTCCATCACATACTAGTGTATCCATGGAACCAGAGTCCATCACATACTAGTGTGCCCATGGGACCAGAGTCCATCATGTACTAGTATCCATGGGACCAGAGACCATCACAGAGTGTGACCATGGGGCCAGAGTCCATCACATACTAGTGTGTCCTTGGGACCAAAGTCCATCATGTACTAGTGTGTCCATGGAACCTGAGTCCATCATTTACTAGTGTGTCCATGGGACCAGAGTACATCACATATTAGTGTGACCATAGAACCAGAGTCCATCTCATACTAGTATATCCATGGGACCAGAATCCATCACATACTAGTGTGTCCATGGGACCAGAGTCTGTCACATGTGTGTCCATGGGACCAGAATCAGCCATATATTAGCTCAAATAACTCAGATTTTTCACTAGTGACAAAATTAGACTTAAACATGAGAGAATGTGTGTGTATGCTGAGTGTGCATTGTATACAAAATCTCCTGCCCCATGCAGGGTATGGCAGTTACAGGTTATAGCTGTTCCTGTGCTTAGGTTATAATAACAGCTTTGAGGCATTTTCTTGGGGAGTTTTCATGGTTTTATTGACTATTTTGTGGTGCCAATAGATATGTTGGAAGATACACTAGTTAAGTGGATAACTTTTTAGTTGGTTTAATACTGAAAATTGCTTGAAATATGATTTAAATTGGCTAGAAGTAGTTGACTTTGAGTGGTATTCCCAGGAAGGGTAAAGGCCTTGTTACCCACCCAGTTGGTTTTATGTATCTTTACCAATTTGGTTTCATTTATTAAGTTGACCTAAACCATGATTAAATATTCTTGCTCCTAGTTTATTTGCCAAGAAATGGGGAAAAATTCTAATTTTTTGTGTGATTGTGCCTTGGAAATGGAGGCAAGTACAGTGGAACCTTGACTTACAAGTTTAATCCATTCCAGGAACTAGCTCGTAACTCAATTTACTCGTATATCAAATTAATTTTCCTCGTTTAAATTAATTGAAAAACCATTAATTCATTCCTGCACTCTGGAGAGACAAGAAAAAAATACTTGAATATGATGCTGAGGTCAGTGGTCAGTACACTGAGGTCAGTGGTCACCTGCTGTCATACCTGCCTAAACTCTTGGGAGTTAGCGTGGGCTGTTACCAAGCACCATGGCTTGTTGTAGTGTTTTAGAATCTCAAGTTCAAGTGTTGAAGAAGGAGATTCTACTTCAGGAGGAAAATAGGAGGCTGAAGCTTCGCATAGATAAGTTTGGGAGCGAGTGGATGGAGTGGTTGCATTAGCAATTCAATTGAGAGGATAATTGATGACTTGTCTAGGAATTTAAACTGATAGATTATAGAGGTATGGGTGTTTGTGGGAAACAATCAGGCTGCAGCATTAGGGTTAAAAACAGCAGTTAATACTGGGATACCTCAGGGATATGTTTAAAAGACAATATTCAAAATAAAGTTGCTAGTAATGGCAAATCAGTTGATCAACAAAGAAAGAAAGATAGTAGAGGGCAACGAGTGACTAGCTCCCTTAAGGTTTACTATACAAATAGTAGGAGTCTAAGAAATAAGATAGATGAGCTAAGATTACTTGCAAGGGCAGGTAATGTAGATATTATTGGTATAACAGAGACCTGGTTCTGAAAGATAGAGAAATGCCTTCTGAATGTAACATACAGGGTTATAAACTATTCCACACTGATAGGGTCAACAAGAAGGGTGGTAGAGTGGCGATGTATGTCAGAGAAAATTTAAATTGCTGTCTTAGACATGATATAAGATTAGAAACATCGAACACAGAATCTGTTTCGCTACAGTTTCTCGAGGGATGTGACAAATTAATTTTGGGTGTGATTTATAGGCCCCCAAACTTTGATAGGGAGTGCAGTAAGCTGTTATGAGACGAAATTCATAAGGCTTCTAGATATGAAACTGTTGTGATAATGGGAGATTTTAACTTTAGACAAATTGATTGGGACAATATGACAGGAAATCTTGAGTCTAGTGACTTTCTTGATACGGTTCAGGATTGCTTTTCAGAACAGGTTGTGACAGAACCAACTAGAGGAAACAATCTGCTTGACTTGGTTCTTGCCAACAAAGATTCACTAATTAATAATCTTGAGGTTAATGATGAGCTTGGGAAAAGTGATCACAAATCACTTAGTTTCAATATGTCATGGAATTACCCAGATAACTGCAATCAAATCTCTGACCCAGATTTTCGCTTGGCTGACTTCATGGGACTGAATAATTACCTGGGTGGGCTAAATTGGGATGTCCTAGCTATGGGTCAGGTAGGTGATCTTGGTTGCCAATATGACGTTTTTCAGAGCATAGTTCTAGCTTCCCAGACAACTTTTGTTCTGAGTAGGGAAATTAGATCTAACAAAAATGATCCCAAATGGATGAACAATAGATTAAAACATCTCATTGGTCAAAAGAGAGACATATATAGGCGTATCAAAGAGGGGATGGGCAGTTAAGAAATCAGTATATTCAATTAAAGAGAGAAATAAAGAAAGGAATAAGAAAAGCAAAAAGGGATTATGAGCCTAAGGTTGCAAGGGATTCAAAGACTAACCCAAAAGGGTTCTTTCAGGTATCCAGAAGTAAGATTAGGGACACGACTGGCCCACTTAAGAGTAACTCTGGTCAGATCACTGACAGTGATAAGGATATGTGTGAAATTCTCAATACCTACTTCCTCTCAGTTTTCACCCAGGAAAATACTAGCGATATTCCTGAAATAATAGATTATGTAGAACAGGATAATAAACTATGTGCGATTGCAGTAACTAGTGACGTGGTCCTCAGACAAATAGAGAAACTAAAATCTAACAAATCCCCAGGCCCTGATGAACTGTTTGCAAGGGTGTTAAAGGAATGTAAAGAGGAACTTAGCATACCTTTGGCTAATCTTTTTAACATATCACTACAAACTGGCATAGTGCCTGATAAGTGGAAAATGGCAAATGTAATACCTATTTACAAGGCAGGTGACAGGTCCTTGGCTTCGAATTATAGACCAGTAAGCCTTACCTCCATAGTGGGAAAATTTATGGAATCAATAATTGCCGAAGCAATTCGTAGCCATCTTGATAGGCACAGATTGATTAATGAATCTCAACACGGTTTTACAAAGGGGCATTCCTGTCTTACGAATTTACTAACTTTTTTCACTAAGGTGTTTGAGGAGGTAGATCATGGTAATGAATATGATATTGTGTATATGGACTTCAGTAAGGCTTTTGATAGAGCTCCACATCAGAGGCTATTGAGGAAACTTAAGGCACACGGAATAGGAGGAGAAATTTTTTCCTGGGTAGAGGCATGGCTGACAAATAGGCAGCAGAGAGTTTGCATAAATGGGGAGAAATCAGAATGGGGGCACGTTACAAGCGGTGTTCCTCAGGGGTCAGTGTTGGGCTCGTTGTTGTTCACAATTTACATAAACGACATTGATGAGGGAATAAATAGAGACATAAGCAAATTTGCTGATGACACCAAAATAGGCCGTCCAATTCATTCTAATGAGGACACTAGAGCACTCCAGGATGATTTGAATAGACTGATGCAATGGTCGGAGAAGTGGTAGATGCAGTTTAATATTGACAAATGCAAAGTTCTAAATGTTGGACAGGAAAATAACCATGCCACATATAAACTAAATAATGTAGATCTTAATACTACTGATTGCGAAAAGAATTTAGGAGTTCTGGTTAGCAGTAATCTAAAACCAAGACAACAGTGCATTAGTGTTTGCAATAAAGCTAACAGAGTTCTTAGCTTCATATCTAGAAGTAAACCTACCATCCGACTTACGACCGAGTTCGGTTCCGAGAAACCGGTCGTAAGTCGAAATGGTCGTAAGTCAAACTTTACTACTGAATATCAACAAAACATTTTTGTAATGACTTTATTTTATTGTTTTATTTTGGTATTTCATGTTTTACTTTACTTTTTATGCTGTTAGTACTGTATTTTATACTGTAAGGTTTAGGATAAACACTGTGTACAACACAAATAGCTGTTTATTTCCCAGAAATTTGGCATAAAAAACACGGTCGTAAGTCGAGTGGTCGTAAGTCGAGCAGGTCGTAAGTCGGATGGTAGGTGTATAAATAACAGAAGTCCTCAGCTTGAGAGTCACTTGACCTCTGTCGCACAACAAATCTGTCCATAGAGCTCTGTACCTCCCGTTCCTTTACGATTTGTC